TAAGAACATAGGTTTGTTATGAACATATGTTTATTTGTTTTCTAATACTTCTATATTACATGAATGATATGTATTGTGCCATTCGTTATACCCATGGACTTATGCATTCTCCCATCCCATCAAAATCAGCACGTGGATATATCTTGACTGGGCAGGAACGGACTGCTTCGAAAAGTTATGAAGCTTTGCAAGCATTTCAATCACAATATGCTGATTAATCTCTGATAAATCAGTTGTTTCAGTTTGATCGTCTTCTATGTTATATAGTCGCACCATACGTGTTGCGTCGAAATCACGATCCTCTACTATTCTATGGTCAGAGTTTATCTCTTGGGGTTTAACCCAATCACTTGGTCCTGACATACACAAAAAGCAAAAATATAAATAAATAAATAAATAAATAAATAAATAAATAAATAAATAAATAAATAAATAAATAAATAAATAAATAAATAAATAAATAAATAAATAAATAAATAATTTGTGATGATATCTTCAATATTTGAAATATTGATATTTAAAACCTCAAGTCTAATTGCTTTGATACTATACACATAGGTACCTGAGGTAAACCTCTCTCACATTTGTTCATTTTGTGATGATATCTTCAATTGTCTAATTTTGGTGAATATGTTTGTAGTTTTTGTTAAAAAGTTATATTTTGGAATTCTTGATGGAAATTCGATTGCTTTGATACTATATATATTGTTCATTTTCTCATGATATCTTTAGTTCTTTAATTGAAATGTGCATTGCTAACAGTGGAGCTATCTCAGCCGACAGGCTGCTTGTTTTATTTGCGAATGTTTATCTGCATATAAATATTTCGCACTCAAAATATCGGAGACGGATAATATTGACAAACGCTCACCTCCAATTGGTCCAGTCAATAACTTCCATTTTCCCATTTTTATCGCTGCATGTGTTGTTATGTCAAAAGCATTATTCTTATATATACCAGTTCTATAGGGTGCACCTGCTTTATTATCTTCCTCAAGCGTAATCAACACATCGTCGCGCCCAGATTTGTCTTCTCCTCTGTAAGATATCAAAGAGGCATTTCGTATTGTATGACTACTCCCATTATTACACTATAGTTTTCCAATGCCTTAGTTAAATTTTGTGATAAAATATACTACCCACTTTGAATACTGGCACAACAACAACAACAGCAACAACAGCAGCGGGAAACACTATTCACACATTTACACATATGAAAAGAAAGATACAGGTTTGATACGTAAATGTGGCACATACGTTATCATATTCCACTGATCAACTCCGTATAGCTTCTTTCCGACATGTGGATTGCCACCAGCCAATGTTATTAAAGTTGGGAACCAGTCTGTGATATGCATCAGACCCGTATTCTCGGTACCCCGTGAGTGACGAGGAAGCAAATCACCATAAACGAATCCAACAGCTCTCACACCTCCTTCCCAACTCGTATGCTTTCCTCCTCTCAGAGGCCAGTTGTTGCCAGCCGAATTCACCAAAGCCCCGCCATTGTCTGCAATGTTGTATGATTAAACACTAAATTAGGAACAAACATTTTGAACCTCACTTGAAAATGTATACGAACGTTTAGCTGGATAATGAAACTGAATGTCAAATTTGATGGGAAACAATGATTTCCGACCTTCCGTAAATTTGCTCAGCTGATTCTACCAATTGTCTATCAACATAAACAGATTCGTCGTGTAACGGAAGGAATAACTATGATAAGAGGGTTGTATCACACACAATCATTATGTATATACGATTATTTTAATATTTATTACCGGAAGTGAAAACGATTATACTGTTTTTCAACATGTTCTTCTCTTCAAGTGCCTCAGTGATATTCGCGATAGCCTCGTCTACACATGATGTCATCGCTGCATATGTTCGTCTGTCCTCGTCATGAATAGTTGACTCGTATTGTTTCAAATACGAGGACGGAACCTCGAGAGGTGCGTGTACCGCAGAAAATGACAGGTAAAGAAACAGTGGCTATGATAGGAAGATATGAACATGTGTCAGTTCACTGCATTCACATTTTGTAAATCCGAACAGAATCAGAATATCAATTTTCTCACAACCAGTATATATCGCTGGGGGGTGGGGGGTGGATGGGGGTGGGTGTTTGGGTGGGGGTTAGTCATGACGACCATGATTGTGAGAGCAGCGAAATTGGAAAAGAACACAGAAGCGGCGGCACGACATTTTGAATTGGGGGGGGGGGGGGTGTGCTAACCAACCCTGCGCCTAAGGTGCTATCTCACGAGCGGGTCCGGGGGCATGCTCAGCTTTAAAACTTTTACAGGCTATTTCTTGCATTTTGAGTGTCACATTTTGCTGATACCTATTTTGTTCGCCACTGGAAACCTCTTCACTGAAAAAGATCATACAATCATGCCCATTTAAAAACAATTGAGCAAGGCTGATAACACATAGATGACATCAATGTGACCATATAGACTATCTTTATTTTATTATAATGCAAACTTACTTTGTTTTGATCATGTGCATTAATTATATCCTTTCCTTCATTTGCAAAGATTGTTGTGGAATATTTACCAATATACTTCTTAGCTATACAATCATCATTTTTTCTGAGATTGTGCATATGATTAAAATGATCGCTGTGCGTATAGTGGTCTATACCTGCTCCAACGAAACCTATTAATATAAATGCACAATTAAACAAAAATAATACAAAATTGTAATAAGTGTTATATTCATTGATTAGATTATACTGTAAAACATGTCTTTTTTGCGAATTTAGCGAGAACTTATTCGCTAATTCAAGATGTCGCTAATGACTTTATTATCAATTCAAAATGGCCGCCAAACAAAGAAATCAACAATGACAAGGGAGATTTGTTAACTCAACATTTCGCTATTACGTCATTTTACAACAATTCGTTAAAATTGCGTGCCGCTTTTTCAACATGTTTTACAGTAGTTTGTATACTCTCGGTCATTTAAGCCGTTGTTGTGACCGATTAATTAAGGTTGATTAGACCAATTGAGTGGATCAATATCATTATGATCACAGAAGTTCAATTATTTAACCCCCTCATCCATAGTATGTCAAGGGTAAATAGCATCATACTCAAATGATGTTCAACTTCATAGTTTTGAAACGGTATTGGCATTCATAGTTCAAAAAGAAAGAAAAAACATAACAACTAACACACAAATTAAAGCACAAGCCCAAACTAGTGGAGAATTTAAATACATGAGACAGGCACATTGAGAGTAAAAATACATTGGAATGTCATGTAAGAATTATGTTTCCATAAACTAATATACGATAAATTTAAATCAATCCTGAAATGCTCACCGAAAAATGTGTCAAATCCTCTGTTATGAGGCAAGCAATTATCTGCGTAATACCCACAATGCCATTTACCAACTATATGGTTTGAATACCCAGCGTGTTTCAATGGTTCTGCAATGGTAGTCTCGTCCAATGGCAACGACCGGGGATGATATCCGAAACCATCGTTCGGAATCCCGAGTTGAATCTTGAAGTGAAATAACAAATGTATGTTAAATAGCTGGTATAACTGATATCTGGTTTTCGTCTTCCATCCTGAGTTTTTTTCTGTTCTGTGTTTTTATTTTTTAAATATGGAATTGATGTTAATATCAGTTGGCAGACAAAATCCACATAGACATATGAATTATTAAAAGCAAAGGAAACTTATTTTATAGTACAGTCGTCCTTATCCGCCTATTGTGACGGAGGTAGAGACGGACATCTAACTCAGAATATCTAATTATATATTGTAATTATATAGTGTGTGCTCGTAACACGCATACATAGACTATGTTGTAGAAAATGCAAATATACGCATTCATCTGTGAGAGCAGATTGAAATGTACGTCATACATATAGAACACAACACCGTCAACGCAACGTCAGTTTCGTAATATTAGTATATATCAACAAATTACATTTCCAAAATAAATATAAACAAGCATATTACTCAATTATCATTGTTCTTTACAGTGATTGCATATCGACTGTTATCTGAAAAATATCACCACAATATTCTACATCTAGTTATGTGCGGTTAATTTAATAATATTTATAACTCACAGCATGTCTTCCAGTCATCAACATATTTCTAGATGGAAGGCAATGGCTCGCCACGTAGTAATTCAGAAGTTTCACCCCATTACCGGCAAGCCTGTCGATGGTAGGCGTCTTGAATACGGGATTATTATAACCAACGTCATTCCATCCGAGATCATCTACAACTATAAAAATAATATGAGGAGGCTTTTCGTGGCCCAACACATTACCTGATGCCATCAGTAGCAGGAGAAAAACGACAGTATTCATCTTTCACAGTCGAATGAATACACACAATATTTCCTGAATGTCTGTATCACATGCATGGGAAATGTGATTGGTTGTTATGAATCTATTGATAATTACGTCGGTGTTACCGGAGATAAAATAACATTTACAAATTTGTATTTGTTAAAATGTCACTAATTATAATTATGACTATTATTTCACAAAAAAAAACCAATCAGTCCTTTCTTTAAATCATAAGCTCATATTATTGTGATTTTAGCACTCATTAATTGGGATAATTTTCGTTAATTTTGTTTTTGACAAAGATGACGATATTTACAAATATCATCTTCACTAATTGGTCTGTTCGGTATTCAAATGAAGTCTATTGACAGCTGGCTGATGTATCAAGTAGGATCAAAATAGTCTTTTGACTTTTTTTAAACATCGCCTACACTGTGGCTCATACTTTGATATTTTTGGCGGGACAGCCACTAAGAGTTTTTGGATACTGATCTGAGCCATTGTGTGAAAAATATTGTGCTTTCATTGTTTCCGGGTTTTAATATGCGAATTTATTCTGATTTATTAAAGTTATTTGAAAATGATTTTAGGCAACTTTGTCTGATTATTATGTAAATAGGACACCAATTAAAGAACTATTGTCATACTGATCGAGGGTTAATTAGTATGACCTGGACTTCAGTTTCGAAGGGGAGACCAATGTTTTGAAATCTGTTAGACCTTTTTAAATATACAGTATGCTTTGCAATATACGATGTTATAATAATTTTTTTGTGATTGTGTGATGTAGACCATATGCTACCACCTGTTTATAAGCGATATTAAACAATATAGCGTGGAACAAGAACTTTCTTGCACACCAAAGCAGGCCGTGAGAAAATGTTATTCCCTGACCTCAAACATTTAGCACCTCATTAATTAATGAAAACAATATTATATCAGGCACTCAACAACACGCAACTACATGCTATATTGTTAGCAAATCGCACAGAATCAACGACTAAAGTGTAGCCATTTTGCATTGTGTCAATGTAGCCAAACCAATTTGACCATAGGGGTGTCAGGTACTATCATGTATTTCAAAACAATTCCTTTGATATAAGCATAATACACACGCTATTGTGGATAATTCATTTATCAAATATTAGATTATTATGTTTAACAATTTACAAATCAGATAGTCTATAGAACACACGTCTACCAATAATATTTTAAATTTATTTGAATAGAATACACAATTCATATATGGTTTGGTAGATTACAATACAAGCGTTATTTTTATCCAAAGTATGTGCATGTTTCACAAAGAACTATCATGTTACTCTTGTCACAAATTGTCAGTAGTGGGCGCATGTCAACAAACCAAATACAGGACCTGTTTCATCAATAATTAGACAGATATAACGATTACAGGCAGTTTCCATTGTAAAATGCCATAGTTATTATGTGATTTCTTTTATAGACTACATAATGTCGGTAATTATGTCAATGTAAGTTTAGTTATTTCAGTTTAAATGTTAAAATAGATACGTGTTGAATATGGAACACATCATTATAATATAATAGTAACCTTAAATGAATAGAAACGATTGTCGTGTGTTTATGGGCTCTCTAGACAGGTTCGCTTAAATGAGAAAGTAATAAGCACGTGTGGTTCAATTATATTTACATTACTAAAACAATGTCTCCCCTAGAGTCTGTATCTTTTAACATCTCATTTCATTGTTGTAGAACGCATTGATCAAACGTTCTATATAATGTGTTATTGATTCAATGGCAATTGCGTCTAACCCAAATCAAGGCAAAAAATAAATTACTCAATCCCATCAGTTGTCCTTAAATACAAATTCAAGGAAGACATCAAGATATGGAGCAAAGTAATTTGATTCCGTGGTTTCGTTGACTTTTAATGGATGCTTTTGTACTCTGATACAATGTACTTGTATTGTGTTATCACTAAACCATAATTTATGATATCACTCAACCATATTTTTACTTTATCGTGTGTGTTACGGTAGTGTGACGTCTTAGGAGAGCGCACTACTTATTTTTTTGCTATGTCCGTAGTGCAGTGTAAACGAAGGAGAAGGTACAGTAAGGGGACGATTTTGGCGTTGTTGTTGTTGGCGTGACTTGTGGGTGCGATAACTCAAGTAATTTTTACACGATCAGTTTCAAATATATATATGTTATGAACAAACATGCAAAGATGGCCAAGTTTGATATTTATGCATTTCGCTTGCATAATCGAAGAGAGATATATACTGATTGGTTTTCGCTTGAGGGCGCGATAACTCGAGTAATTTTTACGCGATCGATTACAAATTTATATATGGTATAAACAAACATGCAACGATGGCAAAGTTCAATGTTGGTGCATTTTGCTTGCATAATTAATGAGAGATGGCTGCCAATTTTTACATGATCAGTTACAAATTTATATATGATATAAACAAACATGCAAAGGCTACAGATTGGTTATCTCTTGCGGGTGAAATAACTCAAGTATTTTTTACTCGATCGGTTTCAAAATCATATATATTATAAACAAAGGTATAAAAATAACCAATTTCATGCATAATAATGAGATATGGAGTAATTATCTTTTCAGTTAAAACGTAATTGTTGTGAAAGCTTTTTAGTTAAAGAAAAGTAATTTTAATGTTTTTAAATTCAATCCTACTAATCTGTATCAGGATTTAACGAGAAAATCCATGGTGTAATAGTTGTTTTGAAATCCTTTGGAATTTTCCATTGTTGTGTGATTACATATACAATTCATCTTATTGGAATCAGTGCCATCTTAAGTTCATTATAGTTTTTAGTTTCTTTGCTTTTACTGTTTTTAGTTAATGTTTGACCTTTGTGTAAAGTCACTGTATGGTATTAAAATTAGTTCAATGTTTATTTTCAAACACAGTTTATACTGTGAGCAGTAATCTTCTTAAATAGCTGCATTGGGTTAACTTAGTACAACTATGTGTGTCATTGCATTTCCATTGTGTGACTTGAGTATGTTTTTCTATCTTATTATAATTAGGGCCATCTGGAGTTAAATATTAGAAAATGCCTTCTATTTATACTTTGAAATTCGTGAGAAGTCATTGTATAGTAATTAGATCTGGTCAAGGTATATACTCAAGCTATGACAAGTTATGACAACTTTTGTGTTAAAAAATGCTACAAATTACTTCGTACATCCTATGACTAATTATTCATAAAAAAAGCTTCAATATTTTCTATAATATCGGCCATAATTGTATATTTTGCATATTTTTTGAATATGACCTTTTTTGCATTTATTGAAATTAGCTGTGCAAATTTCTGTTATAATCGT